GCTTTTTGCTAATCTGCCGTCAACGAGCTTCTAAAAATAAAAATAGTTTTTAAGTTCAGTTCATAACTACTCTAAGTTCATTTGTGGTATTCCGGTTTGACGTTCATAGCCCGCAAAAAACAAAAACACAAGCACACTTTTCCAAAAATATAGGCTGTCAGTCACATAATCAATCAAGCCACGTAAACGGAAATGTGAACGGAAACCACAGCACCTTGTACCGCATTCATTGGAAACCCCGACGATTTTCGCGCTGACGCTGGCGTCATTGTTGATTTACTGCTATCTGATTGGTAAGCATGCGGTTCGGATCAAAGCAGCCGTTTGTGAGGAGGAGACTTAAAACGGCTGCGAAATGCTGCGGGACCAGAAAAAACGGCCTTAAGAAAGCGAGCTATTCCAAATAATATATAGAGGTGAACGCACTAGTTTTATCCTGCTGAGCTTTAAAAATCTCAATCTTTTATCCAGTCCTTTAAATATTTAAAGCTATTCTGCATGCGTCCCTTTCTCCCTACCCTCCCCATGTACTTTTGCCACACAGGCTACCTATGGAGGGTGCCTTGATTGCACAAACTTCAATCTGTGCCAGATTTCATTGAAACTTGTCGGTGTCGAAATTCGGGTTGTTAAAAAGATCTGAATCGTTAGAACTTTGTCCGCTCGTCGTTTTAAACTGTTTTCTACTTTTATTAGTATCGTTCAGGCTTATTTTACATTGTTCAGCCGAGTCATGCATTTCTGAGCTAGCTGAAAGAAACGATAAGGCCGGACATAATTTTCCTACAACAACCACCTGGGGTTTGTGCCGTCTGTCTGGAAATAGTTATAATCATATTTCCAGAATCATGTTGTACGCTATAGCGGTCTAGTGGTACCTACAGGTGTTAGTTTGAAAGGTAAGCGGTCTTCCTTTTTTTCTTTTCCTTTTCGTGGCAAATAACGCTATAAAAAAAGATTAACTTGCATTACCAAACTGTTCGCGCAATTCAGCATTAATCAAACGTGACTGTCATCCCGGCAATTCACAGTATAAATATTTCACTTCTCCCCTCAAATTTTCCTTTCTATAAATAATCCAGCTTCATTTACCCTAAAAATACACCCAAATACATTTTGTGTTACCGCAGAATGGCGGTTACAAGTTTCTGGACTTGTTAAATTTTGTAAGAGGATTTTGGATGAGAGGGGGGACTTATGAACGGTGGGAGCTGGCATGCGGTATAAAAGACATTTTAGATTTCTCCAGCCGTTATATCATATCTAGCAACGTGACATGTAGTTGTGTAACAATAATCACAATAGTCAAAACTAGGTGATTAAACAATTAAAATATGAATTGTCTAAGAATTAAAATATATGATAGGAATAAAGTAGAATAGCTTAGGCTAAATTAAAGGTTAGGTAATAGCTTAGGCTAAAGTAAAGCTTAGGCTAGTAAAGGGATGAACATCTTTATATGACTCTAAAACATACTTACCTAAAGACTTCTCTAAAATTTCTAAACTAGAGCCAGTATTAAACTCTTAATTTCATTGGGAAGTGAATCCCAAAACCTAGTGGCTGATACTTGAAAAGCCCTAGCACCTTCGGATTCTTTTTTACACTTTGGACAAATTAAGAGAGGCTGTCACGAAAAATCAAACATTCCCCGGCAACAGTCAAAAAATCGAATTGGCTCATATTCTAGTATTTAAGAATCTTGTACCAAGCGTCGACAGTGTCATTCATGTCGTGAAAAAGAAAAGCGCAATCCCAAGGTGCCGTTTTCAAGGACTCGACAAACGCATCTTTGTCTAGGTTTTTGATGTCCCTGTAGCTTACAGTATTGAACCTACCATCGTTAGATCTTGTGCGATTATTTTTCCTCGTAACAACAATAGGAAGGTGATCGGACATCCCATAAGGAATAACACTAATCTCCTTCAGGTGTTCAGGATGACTGCACTAAATACGGTCCGGACAAGTCTTTGGCAATGGCTTTGTGATGCTATTTACAACTTGGGTCAGATTGAGGCTGTGTATAATTTTCACAAGGTGGTGTTTTTTAAAATCAGTGGAGGGTAAAAAATTCACATTAAAATCTCCCAGTAAGATCATCTCCTTCTTGAGTAAATAGGCATTCTCAATATTACTTCCCAGAATTTTTTCTTGCTCCGTGTTATTATACGGAGGGCGATAGATACAAGCAGTTAGGATAGAGCGCTTTGATTTCTAAGGAAAAACCTCAAACCATGAAGCCTAGTTTATCGTTTTCCAAGTCCACTCGTCGTTTGTTCTAAAGAAATCCTGATCCATGCCATGATTCCGCCTCCGCTCTCAACCAGTAGCGGAGACAGATGCAAAAGAAGACAGATAAACTAACAGAGGCAGCTTAGAGAGTGAGACTCAACATTAACAAATCAAAAACACGCATACTGAAAATTAATTGCAAGACCAACAGCTCGATCAAATTCCAAAACGGTCAAGACATCCAGGAAACAAACGACTTCACTTATCTTGGAGCATGTGTAAGTGCGGATGGGGGAGCAGATAAGGACATAGAAAGCAGACTTTGTAAGGCCAAGACAGCATTCAGGAAGTTGAGAAAAGTGTGGAGCTCCACCCAATATAGTGAGAAGACCAAGATTAAGCTATGCAACACCCTCGTGAAATCGGTTCTTTTGTATGGAAGTGAAACATGGAAGATAAATGCTAAAGATTACGAGAAACTTGATTCCTTTCAGTACCAGTGCCTAAAGAGAATTCAAGGTATATTTTGGCCGTACATCACTTCAAAGGAGGAATTACAAAAAGAAACCGGATCCGCGCCGATGAGCATAGAAGTCAGGAGAAGGAGGTGGAAGTTTCTTGGACATGTCTTGAGGATGCCGCAAGACCACCACTGCGTAATAGCCCTCACATTGTCACCAGACGGTAAGAGAAAGGTGGACAGGCCCAAAACAACACGGAGGCGATCGCTTGAAAGGGAAAGAAGTGAGGCAGGTTGGAAGTCGTGGGAAGAAGCGAGGATTATTGCAAGAGACCGGGACCGATGGAAGAGAAATATCAAGGTCTTATGCGCAACAGAGCACGAACAAGACTGATGATGATGATAATTTTAGGTTTACAAAATGTTTCCGTGATTATCAAGGGGACCACATCAGAATGCAAATTAGTGACAAAGAGTTTCCATTCCTCAAGCGTTGATTCAGTTAATCTTTGGAAGTTCCAATGGCAAAACTTTATGCCCGATGTTCTGGGGTTTTAAGATACATCTCCAGCACAGAGAGGTAGAAGTTGAGCAATTAGAAACCACTTTGTCAGTCGGAGAGATGCGTTAGCTTTAGTCCAGCTGGTCGTTGGGACAATGGCGAACTATTTGCTCAAGCCCATTGCAACTGAAAGCCTTGATAGGTGGCAACCAACTGCAGATTCGGCATAGGTCGAGATCTTTTTTTTTGTTAGAGGTACAGGCAATCTCACAATTTCCACCGTAGAACAAAGAAGAGAATAAACGGCAATGCTTTTGATATCTATGCCTTGGACACCAAGCCGATCCCAACTGTATTTATTTTATTTGTTTAAATGGTCTTGCTTCAAATTTTTTGAATTGGTCAGGAGCCTAAATGCAGGATGTAATCTTGTTTCATGAAATCATTCTAGTAGATAACATCTAGGGAATTACCAAGTGAGCAATCCGACGGGACAGGGCGGTATTAACTGCATTTGTGAGGCTGTTTCGATCGACTCAGATTACGCATGGCCATCTCGAATGATTGACTAAAGTTGTACCGTGGCAAACCTTCCTAAAGGTGATTTCCTAGAAAACTTCAGTACCGTTAAAGGCTTCCCTTTTTCGGAAGCAGGAGAAGAAGGAGTGAATGCTCAGCCTCCTAACTATCAGGAGAGGAAACCTTTTCTCCAATCTTATACTTCCCGGGAGAGCTCAAGCCATACGTCACAATATTTTTCCAGGGCCAACAAGTTTTCTGTAGCTGCTATATTATCCACATTCCAAAGCTCCCTTGCAAAGTAAAAAAACAAAAACAACAAGAGTAACAAGAAAAGAAAATTATGTCTGGAGGCAGTAATCAAGGTAAAGGTTAGGAAAAGGAGGCACTAAGCGTTATGGAAACCTACGAGACAACATCCAGGGAATCACCAGGACAGCAATCCGACGGGGCAGGGGGTGCTGACTGCATTTCTGGGAATTTTTACGAAAGGATCCAATGAGTTCTTAAAACTTTCTTGGAAAATGATATCTGTGATGGCGTAACATACGTCCAACGTGCCAAACGAAAGACTGCTGCCGCAATGGATGAGGGTCTCAACGGGGTTAACTATTAACCGTCAAATGGCCAAAGTATTAACCGTCAATGGTCAAAACCGCAATAGTTTTACCATCAACCGTCAAATAAGCAAGCCAATGTTAGTCGTCAAATGTCTTAGACATCCTTAATCAAGAACTAAACGATTGCTTTAGTTGGGGTCAGGCTTGGGTGTTTAGAAACAAAAGTTTTGATATATCTCAATAATACATTTACACTCCCATTGAGACCGTCATGGATGTGTTCTACGCCTTGAAACGCTAAGGCTGTACCCTTCAAGGCTCTGGTGGCTAAATAAACAAAAAAACCTCAAAGAACTGATTCACGGCTCTTAACAAGAGGAGGCTGCAAATGTGTCGGGGTGCGTTTGTTTGTTAGAGACATATGCAATCTGACAGCTTCCACCGTCGAACAAAGGAGAGCCAAATCAAATTAACCGCAATGTTATTGATATTCTTGAAGTTTCAGAAAAATGCCCAGGAAGCCAAGCCGATTCCACCTTAATTAGTTTCGTTTGTTTAAATGGACTCGCTTTAAATTTATTTCATTGGTCATGACCCTAATAGCTGTTATTACAGTTGAGCCCACGTTACAGCGGTATTAGTTACAGAGTGCGCGAAAGCGAGGCTTTCGGGTCACTCTTTCAGGAGAAAGCAAGCGCCTGATGAGGAAAATTAGAGAAAAATAATTATGAGTTTCCCTCCAGATTTCGCATTTTTCTCACAAGAAGAGAGGCTACAATTACTCAGTGGAAACTGTCCTTGTCATTTAACAAAGCCTAGGCTGAGAACGTGGCTTTCATACCGTGTAGGAACAGCAAAAGATGGTAGTACTTCGAGTGACGCCAACAAACGTGAACTAATGCACAGGTGAGCGGTAGGATGTACGATCGTTGCTCCTGCCTAATATTCGAACAGCAATAACAGTATTTTTTTTCTCTCTTTTAAGTGTATTATTTTTTTTTTGTAGAATTGTGAGTTACATAAAAAATGGATGGGAAAACAATTTCACCGAAAGTAGCAAACACTTAGCAACTGACTCAAGATATAATGATGATGTTTCCTCGTCCAGCACGAGTTCTCCGAACACTCCGTACGAGTTTCCACAAGCTGCAAACTGGTGTCCCATCCAGAGTGCTGAATTTCCACCGTTCACAATTGAGAACATGATGAATTACTTTATTGAGAGAAAATCGGGAGATAATGAAGGCAATAAAGACTATAAAAATTTGAATAGTAAGGCTTTTGGACTATTCAGACATGGTCACGTACAAAATATCGAAGTTGGCACGAGTGAAAATGGAGACGTGATCCATGTAGAAGGTGAATGTCTGCCAGAGATGAAAAAGAATTTGAAGTACAAGCTCAATGTTACCATGATCAATTCAGGAGAGCAAGCTGGTGAGATCACCTATGCCTGCTGCAGTCTTGTTAGTTATCTTATATGTGATTAAAGAGACGTAGTTACGGACAGAATACAACACTGGCGACGAGGATGTTCAGTACCTTCGCATAAATCAACATGGCAGCGGCAAGTGTTGAATTTGGAGGAATCTTGCCGTTCGACTGTAAAGGCACGATTACCTAGTTGCTCCTCGGTGGAAAAAGTGGAAAAAATCTTTTGAATATTACCTCTTAGCAAGAGGAATCACCAACAGCGCTTGAAAAAAAGGTTTGCTGTTACACTGTGCTGGCAGTGAAGTGCAAGAATTATTCGAAACCCTGCAAGATCCAGGACCGCCGGCAGATGCAGGTGAAGACAATGCTGACGTATATCAGAAAGCCCTACGCACACTTGATGCTCATTTTAGCGCCCGGTTAAATGAGCCATACGAAAGACACGTCTGCAGAAATCTCAAACAGGAGGGAGGAGAGACGGTCGATCAGTTTATTACTCGGTTACGACACCAAGCGGAAAATTGTAATTGGGATAATGCAGACGAGCCGATTCGCGATCAGGTCATCGATAAGTGCAGATCAGACGACTTGCGACGGAAACTATTGTTAAAGGGAACTCATCTAACTCTGGAAAAGGTACAAGAAATCGCTCGATCTTTTGAAGCAGTAGATATTCATTTGAAAACGATGACTGGTGTGGAAGATGATCGTCAACAAGTTAACCGTATCGAACGTGGAGAAACCGCTGTCCAGTTCAAAGGAAGAGAAACGAAAGCCAAATGTTATCTTTGTAACAGAGAAGGTCATTTCAGTCGTGACAGTTGTTGTCCAGCAAGAAATGCCGAGTGTCAGAGATGTCACAAGATAGGACATTTTGCGAAGGTTTGCCAAACCAAAACTGTCACCAGAAACAAAAGATTTTCTCCACGAGATGTGCCAGACAAAAGGAGATCGAATGTGAACTCGATTGATCATGACAACTTGAGAGTTGAGAGCGACGATGACGAGTACGCATTCACTGTGGGCAGAGGAACTACAGGTGGGATGATAAATGTGTTAGTTGGAGGGATTTCTGTGCGAATGCTTATTGACTCTGGGGCAAGCACTAATGTGACTGATAAAGGAACATGGGAGGAGCTGAAATCCCAGAAGATTGAATGCAAATCCTATAGGTGCAAAAAGAAGTTGTATGCTTATGGGAGTAGTGTGCCTTTAAAAGTTATCAGTTGTTTCGAAGCAAGAGTAGTCCTGGCTGACATAGTTTGTGAGGCAGAGTTTGTAGTGATTGATAGGACAGGACAACCCCTGTTGGAGAGAGGTACAGCAATCAAGCTTGGAGTGCTTCAGATAGGAAGTTCCATAAACTCTGTAAGCAGTGACATTATAGAAGAATTCAAAGATTGTTTTACAGGAGTAGGAAAGCTAAAAGGATATCAGCTTAAGTTGCACATAAAAGAGAATGTGGCACCTGAGGTTCAGCCTCTGCGCAGACCACCATTCAATCTTAGAGACAAAATCGAGAAAAAATTAGACGAACGGGAGAACATGGACATCATTGAGAAAATAAACAGTCCATCTCAGTGGGTCAGCCATGTAGTTGTAGTCCCAAAAGCCAATGGGGAAGTGAGACTTTGTGTAGACATGAGACAAGCAAATTGTGCGGTACAACGTGAACGATACCCCATTCCAACCATTGATGAAGTACTTCAAGACATGAACAATAGTAAAGTGTTCAGCAAGCTGGACTTAAGATGGGGGTACCATCAAATTGAATTATCTGAAGAATCCCGTGAGATTACCACATTCATCACACACAAAGGTCTGTACCGATATAAAAGATTGATGTTTGGGATATCAGCAGCTCCGGAGAAATACCAGCAGCGTTTCAGTTCTTCAGCGGAGGGTATTGAAGGGGTACACAATATCTCAGATGATATTATAGTGCATGGTGCAACACATGACCAGCATGATGAACGTCTGCGAAAAGTGATGATGCGTGTACGTGAATGTGGCCTTACCCTCAACTTAGAAAAGTGCCAATTCTCCATGAGTCAGTTGACATTCATGGGCCATGTCCTGTCAAGTCGAGGAGTGGGTGTGGCCGTTGGCAAAGTGAAGGCAGTAGTCGAAGCAAGAGAGCCAGAATCGGTCTCAGAAGTCAGGTCATTCTTAGGTCTAGTAAATTACAGTGCAAGGTTTATTCCAAATCTTGTGACACTTTCAGAGCCACTGCGAAGACTGATAAAGAAGGATGTGTTCCAATGGGGATCAGAGCAAGAAGCAGCATTTCAGAAGCTGAAAAATGAACTGGTTCGAGCAGAGGTTCTTGGATATTACGACAAAGATGCTGAGACTCGTGTAATCACTGATGCAAGTCCTGTGGGTTTGGGCACCGTTCTTGCTCAGAAGCAGCAAGGAGAGTTCAGGGTCATCATGTATGCTAGTCGAAGTCTAACGGATGCGGAACGCAGATACAGCCAGACAGAGCGCGAGGCGCTGGCGATTGTATGGGCTTGTGAACGGTTCCACACTTACCTATATGGGATCAGGTTTCACCTTGTAACCGAAAAGCTTTTTGACAAGCCTTTGGAGTGTTTGTACTCAAAGAAGTCGAGACCCCCTGCCCGCATTGAGCGCTGGGTACTGCGTATGCAAGTTTTTGATTACAACATTGAATACAAGCCTGGTAGCGAGAACATAGCAGATTCCCTGTCTCGACTGAGCTGTTACCACAGTCTGGACGAGGAGAAAACGAGGAACATTGCAGAAGAATATGTACGGTTTATAGCGCAGACAGCCACCCCAAAAGCCATGACAACACGAGAAGTAGAAGAACATTCCCACGGTGATGCTGAACTGAGTGAAGTAAGGCGATGCATTCGTGAAAGTGTCTGGAACAACAAAGAATGTGTTAAATATATTCCAGTAAAAGACGAACTGTGTGCCATCGGCAAAGTCGTTTTGCGTGGAACTCGCATTGTTACTCCCCAAACTCTGAGACAGCAAGTACTAGCTATTGCACACGAAGGACATGTTGGAATTGTTGCTACGAAACTGAGGCTGAGGACTAAAGTGTGGTGGCCCGGTATCGACAAAGACGCTGAACAATATGTAAGGTCGTGTCATGGATGTCAACTAGTTGGACAAACAACTCCACCGAAGCCTTTGATGCCTACTGAGCTGCCGCTTGGCAAATGGCAGGACTTATCCTTGGATCTCCTGGGACCGATACCAACAGGAGAGTACCTGCTTGTTCTCATTGACTATTATTCTAGGTACTATGAAGTGGAGATCTTGATGTCAGTTACTGCATCCCAGATTATCTCACGCCTCGAGACGATATTCGCTGTTCATGGCCTCCCAGTAACCATAACGAGCGACAACGGACCACAATTCCGGTCAGAAGAGTTTGAGAATTTTCTTGTTGATAATGGTATCTTACACCGCAAGGTTACGCCAGAATGGGCACAGGCAAATGGCGAAGTAGAGCGTCAAAACCGAAGCCTACTCAAGAGCATGAGAATTGCACAAGCAGAAGGAAAAAACTGGAGGAAAGAGCTCGTTCATTACCTCGCTACATGCAGAACAACGCCGCACACCATCACAGGAGTTTCCCCTGCGGAGTTATTATTTGGTCGGAAGATCCGCACAAAGATGCCTGAGTTGCGCGAAACTACCGTAAATGATGATGAGCTACGAGATCGCGACTGGGAAAAGAAAATAAAGGCGAAGATATATGCAGATCAACGAAGGTGTGCTCAGCCCAATGAACTTCAGACTGGTGACCAAGTGCTTCTAAAGAAGAAAAAGTCAAACAAGTTGTCAGCCAATTTTGAAAGTGAACCTTGTGAAATCATTAAAAAGAAGGGCAATAGTGTTATGGTACAGTCACCTTAGAAAGTTCAATTCCAGAGGAACGTCACAGAAGTAAAGAATTTTGCTCCCAGAGATGAACAATGTGTTGACAGTGATCATCAGTTTGAGTTACAAAAGGACAATGAGTTAGAGCAGAGGCCGCAACGGGATAGGCATCCCCCAGATCGCTATGGTGAATGGGAGTAACCCAGAAAGAAAACTGACATGATAGTAGCCTCTTACAGGTTTGAACCTTGTTGTGATTTAAAAAAAAAAAAAAAAGAAAAAGAAAAAGAAAAGGGAAACAGCTATGTAAAGCTAAAAAAAAACTCTGGACATAGTTGCAGTTCCGTTGATCGTATGATCTAGTTTAAGATTAAGTTTTTCTTTTTTTTGTTAAGAAAAGAAGGAATGTTGTGTCGGTCACATGACCTGAAGAGGTAATGACACGTGGAGCGAGGAGCGAGGGATGTCGATTGAATTCGTTTGTTGTTAGTTATCTTATATGTGATTAAAGAGACGTAGTTACGGACAGAATACAACAATCATTTTTGCAGTTCCTTCCTCCCGGCCTTTCATTTAACCTAGAGGCTTTTTTAATCAACTCAAATCATTTTTTTTTATTTAGTTTGCAAATCACCGTATTTACAAGCAGACAAATACTCGCTTCTTGTGCAAACGAGATGATTGCGTTCTTCGCAGAATTTTTTTTTCCGACACGAATAAAAAGGGCTTGCAATAATAATGAGTGTACATTACTCATATAACATTTAAAACAATTTCTGTCTTTGACATGCCAAGGCAGGAGGACTCAATTTTTCCCACTAGTAATTTCAAAAAGGATGTGTCTATTCTCAGAAAAGCTTGCGTAGTATAAGGCTTGACTACGTTAGGTTACTTTTCAAATACAGTTTATGTTTCACTCGTAGATGAAGTGGACAGAACGTAATGTCATCTTGGTCAGAATAATCTTATTATGTGAACCGTTTAAATTTAAGGCTGGCTCCAAAGAGCGTGGCTCGCATGGAGCCGAAATAGCTCAAACGAGAAGGATACACAAGGCGTTGAAGCAGCATACACAAGCCTTCCATTCCATCAAACACAGACCTCTGCGAGCAACGAAAAATACTTGGAATGCCGCGGACGTCTGCCAAAATGGACAAATCACTCTTCTCAACACGAAATTCCGCTATGTATTCTTCATCGCTGAGATTGTCTCACGAGAATTCCTCGTGGTTGACGTACGGAAATGGGGGATTTTTTGACATATTTACGTCGTAAAGGATATCAAATTCATTTCCCTTTGTAACTCTTTAATAAAAGAAACCAAAAGTAAACCTTGCGCTTACTTCAAGCTCGACAAGACCGGACAATGCGATGAAATCGAGAGATTTATTCTGAATTTTAGATTTACCACCAAATTTGCGAAGCTCGTTTGGCGTGGCGTCGCTTTTTTCGCGCACTTTCCTTAAGGATGGCAACTCACAGTCGCAACTGCAACCTGAATCCGTTCTATTCCCAGTTTTGTAGCGGTCGTCACGTCGCCTTCGTCAACGAAAACGTCTGTTGCTTGAGGTACCTATTGTTTCGTTGACATTGTTCAAGTGTGAAAATTGTAAGTTGCATGTTTTGTTCTTTTCCTTATGAAGAGACGTTTTATTTTCATTCCACTCCAATCTTTTCTCTTGCTTGCCATCATCTGTTTATTCATGAAAAAAGAAGCTATTCTATTTTCAGACATGGACACACGCACTTTACTTTAAATAGTACGATCGCTGCTCAAAACCTTGCTAATTTTCCATACCACAATAAACGACTCAAATCACGTGCGGTTTTAAAGTCTAAGACACGAATTTTACTTTAAGTACTACGATCGCTGATCAACACCTTGGCCTAAATCCGCTCCAATCTTTGATATTCCTTGCTATCCTCGTCTTTTATTCCTTGCCATCCTCGTCTTGGGAAGAAGCTTAAGAGCATTCCAATCTTGGGTAGGTTCATAACAAAATAAAATCACCTTTCGACTTCTTTCACACTTTTAAACACCTTTAGACTTTAAGGTTTCACTATCATTGTTGCTGATCACCACTTTTGCATGAAGTGTTTTCTTTTTCAATCAGGCTTTTGAGTGTGGAGAATGTACCAGATGCAGACAATTTGTCGGCCTTGGACAAATTCTGTGATATGTGGCTTGACCTCGGAAAAAATAACAATGCATAAAAAGTTTTCTCTCATAACAGTTCACAACCTGAGCATTGACTCTTTCTCCTTGTCCAGCAAAATAAAATGCTTTCAAGACTACCAAGGTTTGGTATGAAATCAACTTTAAAAAGGTACCTCGCGGTACATATTTAATCGATCATTCCAGATGGCTATCCGTAATCTGTGTCAGTCGCTTCCATTTTTCATTTACACACCCGACTAGTTGAAGAAATCTAAAGCAAGAAACTAGTTCGCGGTTTAGAAAGAGGTAAATTTGAGACGGGTGGCTTAAAACGTTTTGCTTCTGCAGTAACATAGCGGTTAGGGAAAAGGGTAAGAACATTCCAAATTTGTGTTGGTTTATAACAAGGGAAATCATCCTTCGACTTCTTTGATACGTATAAACACCCTTAGACTTTAAGGGTTTACTATCATTATTGCTGATCACGAAGAAGTGGTGGCTCTTTTTCTCACTCAACCTTTTGAATGAGGAGAATGTACCAGACACAGACTATTTGTCGGCCTTGGACAGATCCTGTGATATGTGGCTTAACCTCTCGCAAAATTAACATTGCATAAAAGTTTTTTCTTCCGTGACAGTTGACACCCTGAGCATTAATTCTTCCTTGTTGTCCAGAAAAAAAGAGAAAGAAAAAAGCTTTTAACACTGCAACATTTTTGTATGAAATTTCCTTTAGAAAGGTACCTCGCGGTACATGTTTAATCAATCCCTTGAGATGGCTATCCGTAATCAAACACAAAATTAGCCTTCGCGTTCTTCCACAACCAAAAACACCCAAAGACTCAAAACCATCGACAGCCTAAGCATTGACTCTTGCTCCTCGCTAAAGAAAAGCTGAAGAAACGCTGAAGAGAAACAAACCCTAAACTCTAAAAAGGTATCCTATGAAATCAGCTTTAGAATAGTACCTCGCGGTATATGTTTAATAAATCATCCGAGATGGCTAGCCCTAATCTGAGCCAATCACTTACATCCCGCATTTAGACTCCTGAGTAGTTAAACAAATTTGAAGCAAGTCAATTCAAACAAACTGAATATAGACATTTCGAGTCAGCCTGGTTTCTCTGGTTATTTTACTTGCATCTGGCCCCGGTTGTTCGAAGGTCGGACAACGCTATCCACTAGATAAATCTCTATCTATTGTTTTGGTAACACCAGAGTTAATAGAGGGAACTGGTTATGAAAGCCGGCGAACTTCAAACGATGGAACTCTTTGTGTTGGTTTATGGCATGTCACGTGAGCGCGAAGGTGCACAAAATATGAAGATGGCGACCAGCGAGTAGCCTTGCTTCGAGCTTATTCCTTTTGAACGGATGATCTAGAAATAATCTAACTGAAATATTATCTTAAGAGGATTCATAAGTGATGCCAGCGGTCAACTGCTCCGTCCTTGGCTGCGGGTCGTGCAGACGAACGAAGGGAATAGGAATTTTTAAGCTGCCTGTCGCGAAAGACGAGGCAGCTTATCATTGAAAATGGCGCAACGACTGGTTCGGAGAAGTAATAAAAGCACGCAAAATCGACCAGAATTTCAGGGAGCAGATAAAAAACGACAATGTACACGCTTGCGAGAAACACTTCAAACCCGAGGATATTGAAATATGTAAGTATCGCTTTATTTTCAGTCCAACATGTTAAAAGAAAGCTATTTCCAATTATTATTGATGCTTTTTATTTGTTGACAGGTTTAGAAATAATAAAATGTGACTGACAGGATCAGTGCACAGGCAGTTGGATTTTTTTTTTTAAATGATAATCTATGACAAATATCGCCTTACTCAAATTATTCCAAATCGTTTGTGGTTATATTATTAAATCATCCATATTAATAATCAACATTTTGTTACAGGTTTCAGTTCTTCATCATTTTGGTTACAATAGTAACACTATTAGAATAGAGAGATCCATTTCATGTCAGAGTGGCAATACCAAAGGAAGGAAAGATAGGAAGAAATCTTGGGAACAGGTTACCGATGCCAAGTTGCCATGCCAAAAAAAAGTCAAACTGTAAAAAAAGCTGTGTACTAGCATGACTGCCACAGCCACAGAATTTTGAAATTTCCTGACAAAAGAAGAAGAATTTTTTCCCTTGATCATTAATTTTCCTGACCTGTGTCTTGCTAGTCACTCGACTGAATAAAGCAATTATTAAAAAAATGCACCACCCTGTTGAAGACAACTACAATTGCAGGGTGAGTCCCTTTTAAGGGTGCACAGGAATGGAATTCCAGAGTCTGGCTACGCTACTGTATTTAAGCGAAAAAGAATTTCAGATTGCTTGTTAGATTGTTCCCTCTATTAACTCTGATAATACTTATCCGCTGGATAACAATTTATCTGTTGGATAGCGTTGTCCGCTCTTTGAACAACCGGGCCCTGAAGGATATCAAGAACATTGCCGATGACTTTTTTTTCTCTTCTTATGTTTGACCGTTAAAAATCAAAAGTTTGTTTCCGACTGATATGCTTACTGACTGGTTGACTGACTGGTTGATTGACTGATATGCTAACTGACTGGTTAACTGACTGGTTGATTGACTGGTTGATTGACTGATTGACTGACTGGTTGATTGACTGACTGGTTGACTGACCTCCTGACTCAATGCCTGACTAACTGGCTAACTAACTGGTTGACTGACTCGTTGCTGACTGGCTGACTAACTATTTGACTAACTGACTGAATAATGACTGGCTGGCTGGCTGACTGGTTAACTGACTCGTTGACTGACTTGCTGATTGACTGAATGGCTGAGCACACTGCTGATTGACTAATGACTGACTGGCTGACTGATTGTTTCAATGACTAACTTCATAAAT